ATGCTGAAGGTGCCTCTGCCCGGCTAGTTGATGCCCTCGGAAAGACAAAGGCTGATATCGCCACCTACCAAGAAATGTCATGGACGTGGCAAGACAAAAAACATATCGCCGATGTTTTTGTAAAACCTCTTATCTCACGGCAGCCAAATTTTACAGGAGAGCGGAAAAACGGTTTTCTTTGAAGGCATTGCCTTGATAGGCGATATTTTCTCTAGCTATTATTTTAGAAATCTGTTGTTTTAATAACGATTTTACGATTTTTATGCATGAATATCGATGCCTGGAATTCAGGGTTACCAAATCTTATTTTTGCCACAACGGCAATTTAGGCGGTTTTGCGACTAGTCGATGGACGGTTTTGCAAAATCATCGACGATATGGGCCTTGTAATATCTACTACAGCTGCCATGCATAGGAGAGCAAATTCGTTGTCGGATTTAGGGCAGGAGAGAGACTCCGTCGCTAAGTACTGTCGTTCACTCCGTTGATTGAGTTTCTCGTCAACCTTCCGCATCAAAGCGAAATTCGTCAACATCTCATTTATTTGCGCCCATGTAGCGAAAGAAGAGAAGGGCTAGCGTACCGAAGACATATTCACTGAAAACGCATTTACGAGCCCCGATATAAAAATCGTGATAGGCGGTTTCAGTGTCAGGTTGGGATATCTTTGGTTCCACTAATGGGAAATTTTGCCACCACGACGAAACAATCCGATTACAAGAAAAATGAATCGGGTATTAATTATGAGCTAACGACTTGCCACTGATGGTCCGATTGAAAAAGAACGCATTCCTATGTGTTCCTTCCGGCGATGAGAAGGTTAGTAGCTAGGTTCAAAAAGAGTTGGCACCTGTTAGAATTTAAATTAAATTAATGCGATTGATCATATATCGAAATGCGGTATAAAGGTGCAAAGGTTTTAACAAAGCTATTTAAAAAAGAAAATAGTATTTTTGGGAGATTGCCACATGTTTGAAAAATTAAATTTTATTTAATTGATTAGATAAAAGGAATAATACAATATGGATGTCAAACGAAAGACATTTAAGAAAGTTTGCTCCAAAATTTTCTAAAGAAGTTTGCCACCTGTTTGAATAATAAACTTCGTATAAATCTTATATGTAGATAAAATAAAGTTCCTTAATAACTAACTAACCATTGTCAATGGAAACTTTTCATTCATACATAATTAATTTGCAACAGTCGCAAGCAAGTCACAAATGTAAATATTTTTAACCCTTTGAAGACAGCATTAAAATGGGTGCGAATAAAATTTTTTTTGACGGCATCTTATGTTGGGTAATCCTTAAATATGAACTGGTAAAAAAATTAAAATTTCATGATATTTGGCTTAACCGTTAAAAGATGTTGCTTATAAATTATTACAAAGTGTACTAACAAAAACCAAAAACATTTTTTGAGCTTTATTTATTGAATAAAAAAATATAATTTATTATGTGTATTTTTGAGATGTTGCCGAACAACCTTTGGCAACATATATGTTGCGCACAAGTAGTCACAACGGAAAGATGCTTAAAATCATAATTTTTCATAATTCTGGCATGTGGTTCAACTTTTAGTCTTCAAAACATTTCAAGGGAGCATTTAAAATAAATCAGAGACTGAACATAACAGTTATTGATGAAAATTGTCTTTGAAAAATGCTTTTTTTGCGCTTTTTGAACCGAGAATTTGAAAATAAATATTTACTTGTAATTTTTAAGCAAAGTTAAAAAAGTGAGAATTATTTTTGATTTTTATGTTATAAATCTATACATATAATAAAATTGTAACAGGTCGATGTCTGTGCATTATAGATATTAAAGAAAAATTAATGTGGGGGGTCTTTTTTAGAGCACCAGAAGCCAAATCAACCATTTTTAGAATTTTTGTCTGTCTGTCTGTCTGTCTGTCTGTCTGTCTGTCTGTATGTTTGTTCGCGCTTCACTCGAAAACCAATGCATGGATTTGAATGCAGTTTCCACCGATGTATTGCTAGAGGTCTAACTTAAAATTTAGGAAGAAAAAAA